TTCCTCCTTCATCATCACAGGCTCTTGCTCATACGTTATTTCATGAAATTCTTCTGTGTCAGCCAATTCCTTCTGATACAGTGACTCTGTATACTCCTTCCATCTTTTCTTGATACTTCCTGGATCATTCAACTTTTTACCCAGAGTATCTGTTTTTCTATGGTATCTTGGTCTACAATGACCAAGGAGGATAGAAGGAGAACTGATGCCTTTGAGCTGTGGTGCTGGAGAAGAGTACTGAGAATACCATGGACTGCTAGGAAAACAAATAGATTTGTCCTGGAGAGGGTTAAACCGGGTGGCTCCTTGGAGGCAAGGATTCTGAGGCTCCGTCTAACTTACTTCTGACATGTAGTGAGGAGAGACCGGTCCTTGGAGAGGGACATCATGCTTGGGAGGGTAGAGGGGATGGCGCAGGAGAGGAAGGCCCTCTGTGAGGTGGATTGATTCAGTGACTGGGATAATCGGGATGGGAGTGTCAGAGACAGTGCGATTGGCACAGGACAGAGCGGAGTTTAGGGCTGTTGTACATAGGGTCGCTATGAGTCGCAGGCGACTCGACGGCACATAACAACAACAACAATCTGTTTTTCAGCCCCTTCAGCTTAAACACTGAGCGAATTCGGCCCTTTTGATTTTCTGACTCTAGCTCTCTGCACATTTCATTATAGTATCTTCGTCCCTAACTCTTGATAGGTACCTTTACTAATGTAAGGATATTAATCTGTAGTCCTAGTTTGCAGAGAAATTTCCCCCCCCCCTTTTAAATCCATGAACTGTTGTTATGTGCCATCAAGTCATTTGTGACTCATAGCGCCCCTATGTCCAAAAGCCCTAAACCCTGCTCTGTTCTGTGCCAACCTCATTGTCTCTGACATACCTACTCCCGTTACCCCAATCACTGAATTGATCCGTCTCATTGAAGGTCTTCCTCTCTTGCTCTGTCCCTCCACTCTCCCAAACCTGATGTCCCTCTCCATGGACTGGTTCCTCCTTGCAGCATGCTCAGAATATGTCAGACGAAGCTTCAGCTGTTAAATTTTATCACATTCTTTTTCTGCCCAATTTATTGTTTCTTTATTTTGTTAAATTTAGTAAAAGATTATTTATTACATACACTCTTTGTAATTAACTGGATTTGTTTGCTATATTACTTAGGATTTTAACATACTTAGTCATCAGTTGTTTAGACAGTAACTTAATTCTCAATGTTGTCTTTGTATCAAGATTATGTAGCATCATAAATTAAGTTAGGAAATTCCTTAGTGACTTCAATTTCATTACTATCTGCTCTTCATCCAATATAATACAATGGTTAAGGATTTGGGTTAACTACTTTCAGTTAATAGTAGTAGTGGAGATTTGCTTTATTGGAAAGCAAACTGTCTTTCATAAGAAACATCACAAAATACAATTTGTAAATAGAGAACCATGTTATGATACTATTCTTCTGAATAGTTACTAGTATTAGAATGAAAAGGTATATTAAAAGTTAATTTCTATAAAGTAAAACATAATACCTCATTTAGCTAGTCTTCTAAATAAGTCACTTACTCTGGGCATGTTGTCATGAAGGGGCAGCCCTTGCAAAAAAGACATCATACTTGAAAAGGTAGAGGGTCATTGAAAGGAAAGTAAACCTTCAACGAGATGGAATGACACAGTCAAGCAGCTTGGGCATGTTGGAAATTGTGAGGATGGCGCAGGATAGGGCATAGTTCTTTACTTCATAAGGTTGCTTTGAGTCATAGTTGACTGGACAGCACCCAACAGTAGTAAGTTATAAGTGACAATAAATGTTAACCTTCATTGGTGTGGTGTTAGCCTGAAAAATTGGCCTTTTATAACCATTAGTTAGCCGCTTCTGGTGTCCAGCTGCCTTAACTGCAGGCACTTGGTCCTATAAATCAGCATGGTCTTGGAAATCAGCATCAGCTGTGAAAGTAAGTTAAGAGAAAGAGTGCTTCCCACACTGAGCAGCAAGACTTAGGACGAGAAAGACTTGAAGCAAGACTTGAGGTGATAAAGGCTTGTGGTGGCAACACCCTAGTGAGAGTGAGACCCTGGCGGTGGTGAGACTGGCATTGTTGTGGAGAAGCTGTGGCAAGGTGTGACCTGAGGCTTCTTGTATTTATGTTGGCCACAGTTGGATTTTGCTGGTTTTGCCTTTGATCATGGAAGGAAAAGCTGCTTGCTGATTCATATTAAAGCCCAGACTGAGGAGTTGTGCCTTGGAACTATTGACCTAAAATTTGTACTTATTTTGGTTGAAATAATTGATATTCCTTGCCTCTCCCACTCTTCAACTTCCTTCCCTAAAATACTCCATTGTTGGTACCATAACCGTGAGTCTATGAGTCAGCAATGAAGAAATAAACTTCTGCTGGGCCTCTGTAGGCACCATGGGGCTAGGTATGGGCTCCTGATATGCTTTCTGCTCTGAAGCAGTTAGGGGCTGTGTTATTCTCACACCCTCTGGCCCTTTCAGCGACACTTTCCTGGCCCTGTGCCCCTATGTCCCATTTTTACCCTTTTTAGACAATTGAGAATTAATTAATGTCATAGAATATTCAGTCACATTATTACAAGGTCAAGAGCACATCCCATTTTAACCCTAGTTAATTCCATAGTGAGGGAAAGAATAAAAGATTCTGAAATAATCACTCTAATTTTACCTCCTAGTGTCTCCCTTAACCTTGTCAACTTACATGACTAGTTATTTCCGTTTGATGGATTAATTCCGTATGTACGTCATAAGCCTCGGCATTTTGCCTGGTGCTGTGCAAGGTGTTGTGATGTAGGGTTGAGCATGATGTACAATATTGCCTCCACTGAAGTTAGTGTAGTCAAGGTAGAGCAGTGTATTCAAGTAAGTGACGTATTGGGGAAATGTGCTGTTGCTATGTGAGCACAGGGGAGATAATGCAATTCTAGAAAGTCTGAGAATCTTTGTTTAGGAACTGCCATTCAAACAAAGATCTGCAGCTGGAGATCACAGGAGACATAGGGAAAGAAGGCCTGGCTGTGAAAGTGACTGCTAGACTTGCACAGATTTGAGAGAGGTGCAGTGTTGGTATTCCTGTAACCAACACTAACTGTAACACTAACACAACTGTAAACAGTATACTTAGAGCACTTTTCCCAACTAAAGTCTCAATAAACAAAGAGAGCAGTCTAGCATATTAAGGAGTTTGACATTATTCTCATTTTACAAACATTGGGGAGCTCTTCATGTAATACAGTATCAAACACCATTAAGTGATTGGTAGAGAGAGTGCACGTAGGAAGGAAAACGTTGAGTTCATTGTGGCAAATTTGTGGTTCATCCAGATATCTAGTCATCAGATAAAAAGATTTGATGTTCAGGAGATAGGTTGAAGTGAGACTTGCAGATTTAGACTTCTGTAGACTTGCAGTGGTAATTTAAGCCATGGAAATGAATGAAGCTTTTCAGGAAGGCTAAATGGAGCGAGACTAGGAAAAAAATCTATAGAATTTTGTAAAAGGCTAAAAGGGAGATTGTTGTTAGGTTCCATCAAGTCTCCTGTGACTTACAGGAACCCTGTGAACAACAGATCTGAACCCTGCCCTCTCCTGTGCCACCCTCAACATCTCTAATATGCTTGAGCCCATGACAGTTACTGTGCCAAGAAAAAAAAAAAGGTCTGATTTGGAGAGGGTGACACCAAGTCTCTCTTTGGAGGCTAGGATTTTGAAGCTCTACCTCACTTTAGGCACGTGGCTAGAAGAGATCAGTCCTTGAAGGACATCATGCTCGAAAGGATGGACGGACAGCACAGGAGAGGGAGACCTCGAGGAGATGGATTGATAAAGTGACTCGGGCAGTGGGGGTGGGTGTGTCAGAATTAGTGAGACTAGCTCAGGACAGGGAAGGGTTCAGAGGTGCTGTACATAGGGTTGCTATACATCACAGGTTGACTCAGTGGCACATAAGTACTATGACAGCTTTGGAAGCAGGAGTGGCATCCACTTTCTAAATAACATGCCTCCAGAAACTCTATGAACCTGGATAAATGTCGATAGTTGTAAAGGGGCTTTAGGCCTTTTGTTCATAGGGTCACTATAAGTCGTGCTCAACTCGAAGTCAATCAGCAACAGCAGCAACAATCTTTTGATTTTAGGTTAGTTATACAGGTAAGAGAGAAGATGACTGAGAAATGGCCAGTAAAATCAGACAACGATTCATAGGGCCCAGTAGCGAGACTTTCAAAAGAAAAACACTTTAGGAAGGAGTAGGACTCTGGGTTTGCAGACAGTACTGGGGCCTGAGAAGATGCCTACTATTACCTGCTGATGCAGCAGCATCTTGAGACTGTTGTGCTCAGTGTTAAGGCAGAGAAAGAGAAAGCTCCTTCTGTGTTCATAGTGAGGCTGTGGAGATGTTTGGTTATACCTGGATCGGGCTAGACTGAGATTGCATAGCAGAAGCAACACTGTCTGGTTAGCTCTGCTGCCATCAGCGTTCCCCAGATAAGTTCTGCTCCAGTTCTGTTCACCTCCTAGCTTTGAGATTATATGTTTAGTTATTTCTTAAAATAGTTTCTTTGATTGCTAACTTCTTGACGTTTAAGTAAGCTGTTACATCTTAAGTGGTATCTACTGGTAAAACCCCAGCCTTTATCCTGATAGTTTTTCCCTTTTAGTGTTAAAATGAATGAGAGAATTTTTGGCAAATCCAAATTAAGTGTAAGTATGTTATATTGCTCTTTACAATTAAGAATTTGATATCAGATAAGTTTTCCAGCTTTTCTGGCTAGTAATGTTATATGTGGTAGTAAAGCATTTTCACTTCTGTTCAGTTTTTACTTAACTTAGGAGCAGTACAGGCGATGGCGGATGTGAATGATTATAATCATTGACTTTAAGAGGTGGATTAAATGGTGACATATTCACGATGTCATTTCTCCCTCGTACCTCGCAGGGCAGGAAGGGCACGTTGAATCTTGTGGGGTTCTCACTCATCTGTGTTTGGTTTCCAGGGACCATGGCTAAGCCCACAGGATCATTAGCCAGAAGCAGTAGCTTGTGTCGCTCCCGTCGCAGCATCGTGCCGTCCTCGCCACAGTCCCAGCGTGCGCAGCTTCCCCCACACGCCCCGGCACACCCCCGCCACCCCCACCACCCCCAGCACACGCAGCACTCGTTGCCTTCCCCTGATCCCGATATCCTCTCAGTTTCCAGTTGTCCTGTTCTGTATCGAAGCGAAGAGGAGGAGGAGGCCATTTACTTCTCTGCCGAAAAGCAATGGTATGGACTGTAAATATGTAACCATGTGTGGGAGGCTTGCGGGAGGGCCAGGTGGGAGTCGGTTAGGTAAGGGGTGTGTTGTATTAATTTTCTGTTGTATAACAAATGACGACATTTTAATGACTTCCAAGAACCATCATTTATTAGCGCTCAGATCTATAGTCCCAGAAGACCAGGTGTGCTAGGGCTAGGTTCTCTGTCTGGGATGTCACAAGGCCAAAATTCAAAGTCTTGGCTGGGCTACATGCTCATCTGATGTGTGAGGTGAGCTTAAAACCTCATGTTGTGTGAGATTGAATTCCTTGGAACTACAGGTCTTTCTCCTTCATTGCCTTCCTTTCTGACAGCCTGGGGCTTCGTTCAGCTCCTAGGGGCTGCTCATTTTTCTGCCACGTGACTTCTTACATTGTAAAAGCCAACAGCAGAGAAGGTCCTTCCTGCCCAGCTCCTCCCTTGCTTTGCATCTAGCTCCTTCTGTGACTGAACTCTAGAATTCATGCACAGGGCTAGGACTGACAGAGAGAGAGAGAGAGAGACACACACACACACACACACACACACACACACTCACTCTTAGACTGTTTTAGGATCTTACTATTTGCAAAATCCCTTCACAGCACCATTTATATTGGTGTTTGTTTGAATAACTGGAAGAAATTGTGTGTGCACCAGGGCCTAGGAATTTGGGGGCATCTTAGAATTCTTCCAACCACAGACCTATAGATAGATATTTTGAGATGCCAGACCAAATAGGACAAAGTTTTCTCAGAAATGAGAACATATATTTTCATATATAAACAGTTTTATATATGGGCTTACATATACTTGAACATTTAAAAAAATAAAATATGATGGAATGAGTTTTTAGAAATATCTGTTGTTTCTTATTAATTTATCCTGTTAAGAGGAAATGTTTACTAGCAGACAAGCCGTTTCAAATGTTAAAAGTCCAAGAAAATATCAAGGACTTTAAAAGAGAACGCGATATTCATAACTCACTTTTCCTGCAGAATGCATATAGCGGCTGCCCATTCGAGTCCAGTTTAGTGATCTGGGCAGCCCCTCAATCCAGCCGATTCTGGCTGCTCCTTGTAAGCCACACCGTTCTTTCTGGAGCGGTATGGATTGAGTGCCAGAAAAACAGGTGTGGGCTTCTATTTAGCCACTTCTAGTTGTGCAAGAGTGAACTCTGGTGGCATTTTATTATATGCCATGGAGTGGGAACCAGCTCATAGCTCATCTGCAGGGGGCTTTCAGGGGCCATAAATCAGACAGGAGGAGATTGCCCATCCTTCTCCCACAGCAGCTGGTGGGTTCAAAGGTTGACAGCACAACATCTATGAGGCCCCCCGAGTGCATACAAAGCCTTCTCTGTATCTTTGCAGTGTGCCTATTCACCAGCAAGATGACTTTAGTAGTCACATTCTTTTGAGTGACTTGGAAATTAGTAGGGAAAATCCAGAGCTTTGTTTTCCAGTAGCACTTTCTGCGATAGAAATGCTCAGTCTCTTATTTCAAAAAACAGTATCCCAAGTTCACCTAGCTCATCAATGTAAAAAAAATACTGGATTTCAGAAAACTTTCTTCCTCTCCTTTTTCAGTCTTTCAAATACTGAGAATGCTTAAAAAAAATGATAGTGACAATAATAGCACTATTTAGTGATAACTATATTCTGTTGATGAGGCATGCTCATTTGAACTTCACCTTGTGGTAAAATCCAGCTCTACATTCATTTAGTTTGTGTATTTTCAGCTCTATGTCACTATGGAGGATGAACAGAAAATAATTTAAACGGAATGGATGATTAAGCTGAACATTCCAAGAAGCATAAGCTTTAGAGAGAAAGGAAATTTTCAAGTTATGCTATAAATACGTTCTGAATCTGATTAACTATGAAAAAGTAATAGCACTTCTTTTTTTCTTTTGAGATTAGATTGTTAGATAATATAAGCAACTTTAAAAATTTATCATATTCCCTTATTTTTTTAAGTAGGGAAAAATGAGGTCTAGAAAATGAAGTGATTGTACATCTGATTAGAAGCGGGACCAGTAGAGCATTCCAGGCCGTGTGACTAAGCCCAGGGCTGTTTTCACATGTTATTTAGATTTTAGTGGCTAGTTTTTGAAATAGTTTTAAGCTAGCTTAGAATTTCACATACAATACCGCCAAGACACACAGAGCAAACAATAAATTCGTAAAACTAACTAAATGAGCTTCTAGTTCTGGAAGCCGACCACCTTCAGATGACAGTAATAACATGGTGTTCGGCTAATATCCACCCTATCCACTAGGACAATAAGCAGGCACGTCTCACCAACAGCTGATCACGGAGTCTGCTTATTTATTCTTATCTGCACTCTCTTGCTGTTGTCTGCAATGCCCATTATCACATTATAAAAATGCTCGAAAATTATGTCGCGAATTTTACTGTATGATAACCCAAGCCATTGCCATAGAGTCAGAACTGACTTAGAATTGATGCTCCTGATTCTGAGAGGCTGTAATCACACCAAGAAACAGCTACTGGATTCCAACCACCCGCCTTTGGGTTGGCATCACAACTTCCTACCCAGTAGACCACCAGAAGTCCCCATCTTTATAAGAAGCCGTTATTTAAGTGTGATTTTTCCCCAGAGGAGTTTGTACTCTTTAGAAGCTGGTGGTGAGGTAAAGACCGTCCTCACTTGTGTGAATAAATTATACAGAAATGATGAAAATTTAGCATTACAGTTGATATCTAAAATACAGTAGTAACATAAAATGCATGTCAAAGTTAATTGATGTGCTTCTAATTAACCCACATGCCAGTAACGTGATGTTATTCATAGACTCTTCAAGGTGAGCAGTCATTCAGTTCTTTCGTTCAGTTCATTCATTCAGTAAACATTCAGTGCTTGCTGTGTGTTTGCTCATAACTTCAGCAGCTAGAACAGGGGTGCACGGTTCTGGCTTAGTTTTAGCTCGTAGATTCTAATCCTTTGGGTTCTGTCTTTAGCTCTGCTCCTTCTCCCACCTTTGTTTTGCTAGTTATTTTTTGCTTTGACCCCTCACCTTTTATTTCTTAATTATCTACTTCATAAAGTCATCAATATTTCTGTCAGGCACTGTGCACACAAAGGCAGATAAGGCATGGTCCCTGGTTTTTATGACTGCATTCTGGTCATTCACTCAGCACACATTTATTTACCAAGTACCTCCTGTGAGCTTGTCCTCTGTTCTGGTGCAGAGAATACAGAAGTTGATGAAACACTATGCCCACATTAGATTTCCTTCTTTCTGGGGAACCTGACTATAAACAAGTTAGCACAGAATGTCACTTTGGGGAGTGGAGCGTTCTAGAAAGGGAAACCACACCAGGTCAAAGGGAAGAGAATGGTATATGCTGGTCAGTGGCGGCATGCCTGGAGACAGCATTCGAGGAATGTCCTGAACGAAGCAGGGAAGGAAGCTGTGGACAGATGGAAGTCAGACCAGGCAGAGGAATCAGCCAGTGCATGTGGCTTGAAGGAGTCAGGAGACTGGGACACAGAGGAACGAGAAGGCCCGGCAGAGAGTGGTAGGGCATGCAGTTGCAGAGGGAGACACGGGCCAGGTGCATGGACTGGTGGGTTTCCAGAAGGACTTTGGAGGCTCTTACTGCAGTGGAGCCTCCAGCTCGTCTCCTGTAGGTGGAGCTATTACCATGAGGTAGCCATGAGGGAATAGTGACTGGGCTTTGCGACCCAGTGAGCCTCCCTTCACCTGGAGTCCTGTCGCTTCACCCGGCCTTTTAGGAGTTGCTTCTGTGAAAGACACTTGGCAAGGTTACTTCTCAAGAACAAGGACAAAGGCCACATCCCTTCAGCTGGTGCTGAATTCTTTACCACATCTCCCTCCATTTTAAAAAACCAGAACACCCTAGAGAAACATGGATATTAACTCAGTGCACTCCTTGTTTTCCTTTGTTCCTGTTCGGTGCTGTCAGATTGGCTGTGCCTCACAGCAGCCCTGGATACCGCAGAATGTACTCTTCCTGGTCACCCTCGCTGCCATGCTTAAGCCCGTAGTGGCAGTCACTGTGCCAGTTCATCTCACTAAGAGTCTTTTTCTCTTCTGCTGACCCTCTCCTTCTTCAAGCATGATTTCCTTCTCCAAGGACTGGCCACTCCTACCAACATGCCCAGAGTATGTGAGGTGTCTCACGCCCCTTGCCTCTGAGGAACATCCTGGCTATACTTTTACTGAGACAGATTTGTTTGCTCTTTGGGGAGTCCATGGTGGACTCACTATTCTTCCCAGCACCACAACTCAAAAGCATGAATAATTCTTCAGTCTGTCCTCTTCATTGACTTTCATACTTATGAAGCATTTGAAAATACCATAGTTGGATTAGACACACCTCCATCTTTAACAGACATCCTTACTCTTCAGTACTTTAGAGAGGCCTTGACAGCAGAGTTGCCCAATGCAGTACATCCTTTGGTTTCTCGAGTGCTGTTCCTAGATGTCGATTGTGGATCATGAGAAAAACTGTAGTAAAGATAAAAACAGCGGTTGAAAGTCTCCTTTCCAAATTATATTAGTGCTGTGATTTGGAAATACCAGTGAAATCTGTTACTGCAATAACCGAAATGAAAAGAATCTATAAAATTTAAATATTTTCTTATAAATGAAAATAATCACAACTTAGGTTGTAATATTTACAATTTTATTATTACAGTTTATGTTAAAAATTAAACCGAGTTTAGACAGGTTATCTTATTTAAGGTAATACAGTGCTAATTTTATTGAGCCACATTTGGGATATTGACACTTTCTCCTTTTACATTTCAGTAGATTAAACAATGGACGTTGTTTTAATGAGGATCCGCCCACATAGCTAAAGAGCACACAGTTTTAAATGTTTCCCTTTGCCTCTCTGTCTCATCCAGGGAAGTGCCCGACACAGCTTCCGAATGTGACTCCTTAAATTCTTCCATTGGAAGGAAGCAGTCTCCTCCGTCAAGCCTTGAGATCTACCACACGCTGTCTCCGCGCAAGACGTCAAGAGATGAGCTGTCCCTGGAGGGTTCCTCCCGCGGCGACTCGCCCATCACAGCCGACCTCTCTCGAGGCTCCCCTGATTGTGTCGGGCTCACAGAGACCAAGAGCATGATCTTCAGCCCTGCGAGCAAGGTGTACAATGGCATCTTGGAGAAGTCCTGCAGCATGAACCAGCTCTCAAGCGGCCTCCCAGTGTCCAAACCTCGCCACACGTCCTGCTCCTCAGCCGGCAACGACAGCAAACCCCTTCCAGAAGCATCAAGTGTCGCCAGGATAAGCAGCATCCCACATGACCTTTGTCAGAATGGAGAGAAAAGCAAAAAGCCATCCAAAATCAAAAGTCTTTTTAAGAAGAAGTCTAAGTGAACGGACTGGCGTGGAGGAAATTGCATTCAAGTGGCATCTTGAAACTTTTCTCTCCCACCCTCCACTCCCCTTTCTTTGTTTTAATTTTTGGAATGTAACTCCATTGGGGCTGTCCAGACTGGATGCCATAATGGGATGTCCTCACAGGCAACTGTCTACTGTCTGCTTACTTAAACAACTAGATAATCAATTTGTCCAGCCTGTCATTGCTGAAAAAAAAAAAATCGTTAAGAGATGAGACAGTTTACAGTCCTTTCTGCCTATTTATTTCTGCTTTGTTACTGGTGATGTATATACAACATTTTGTTGGAGGCCACCATGGACTTACAAGCTTTAATGGACTAGTAAGCCAGCATGGGCTTGCAAACATTTCTTGTTTACCAGAGCATCTTCTTATCTTTCCACAGAGCTATTTACATCCTGGACTAAATAACTTAAAACAAGTAAAACTAATTGCACTACTGTTTTCCAGACTAGGGGTGGGGAGGGGATCTCTGCAAGCAAAACTGTATAGAGTTTATAAAATGACTGCGGATGGGGAACTGTTTTCACTTTTAGATCAAAATGGGTTTTTAAGTAGAACCTAGCATTTCTAATTGACTTGATTTCTGGAAATGAAAACCCACGCTTTTATTATGGGAAAGCTTCTTTCAATGCATTTAATATTATAAAGTTTCAAGTCCTGCTGTAAAGACCATGTCGTTTTGTTTTCCCCAGGGCTTTCACTGTGATTTACAGCATTGCAGCCTGTATGATAAAATGCAAATAATTTAAAGAGAGAAGGCTCTTGATTCCTTATGCAAGTGGAAGAGTTGAAACTTGATAGAAGGACTTAAAACATTCACAAGCTTGAACTGAAGTGGGGGGATGTGGGGTTCAGACACTTGTTTACAGACTTTGACTAACCGCAAAGAATTTATGGTTTGTGAAAACTTTGTACTGTGGAAAAGATAATAAATTGGAGATGTTATTGTGTGGGATTGTGCTGATTTTTGTTGGTAACACTCCACTAAAAACACTATGTTTTTTCTAGAAGAGCCATGTAAACTGTCCCGTCGCTTAATTGCAATATAAGAAATACCAATGTTTTGGAAGTAAGTTGTCAACAAATTTCTTTCTATTTTATATTGTTTGTCATATTTTTATGTAGTTTGAAATGTTTAAATATTCTAACGTCAAGATTAACAAATATAAATTTATGGTGCATTTAGATTGTGTTGTATTAATTTGTAAACCATGGGACTCATAAAACCAGTAGGTTATAAGGTTAGCATTGTCTGGGAAGATTAAGTCACGTAGAACATTAAGTAGATTAACATTTGGGAATTTCTGTGTGAGGGTCTTCTAAAAATTCAGTCATAAATCATCTGAGTAATGCAGTGTGGAGGCAGGCATGTCTGGGGAATTAACAGATACATAATTGCTGAAAGGATTTTCCAGCTTTATGGCTGAAGGATACTGTCTGATGCCAGTCACCTCTGGCTGTGGTGACCCTGTGGACCTCAGTAAATTTGTTCTCTGTAGGGTTTTCAGTAGTTGATTTTTCAGATGTAGGTCTTCAAACTTTACTTCTGAGGCACCTTTGAATAGGTTTGAACCCTCAACCTTGTAGTTAGCAGATGAACTCATTAACTTTTTTGCACCATCCAGGGATTCTATATACTGTCTATTGAGTGCTGTTAGGTGAAAAATGCTGGCTGATAAAGAGTTTCTTTGCAGTTTACTCCAAGGAAGTAATCTATGAAGAATGAACAGTTTCCTGATGTCTTTTCTGAATGCTTTTCGCAAGGGAGCTCTGAAGACCTAGTGGTATGAAGCAGAGCTGCAATCCTGAAGGCATGTGGTTCAAATCCACCTGCTACTCCACAGGAGAGGATCCTGTGTGATTAATTGCCTCTGAAAACTTGCTGGAGGGACAGCTGTGGGTCGATTCTGAATCAACGCAAAACAACTACGTCCCCTAACTTCTTGTTGTTGTTGATTGCCTCCGAGTCAAGCACGACTCATAGTGACCCTAAGAACAAAAGGCCTAAAGCTCCTCCACAACTATTAACATTTATCAAAGTTATAGTTTCTGGAGGCATGTTATTTAGGAAGTGGATGCCACTCCTGCTTCTAAACCAGTCATCGTAGTTATGTGCCATTGAGTCAACCTGCGATGTATAGCAGCTCTGAACCGTTCCGTCCTGAGCCAGTCTCACTAATTTCAACACACCAACCCCCATTGCCCCAAACACTGTATCAATCCATCTCCTCTGGGCTCTTCCTCTCCTGTGCTGTTCGTCCACCCTTCTGAGCATGATGTCCTTCTCCAAGGGGCAGTCTCTTCTGGCCACTTGCCCAAAGTAAGTGAGGCAGAGCTTCAAAATCCTAGCCTCCAAGGAGAGACTTGTTTTCATCCACTCTAAGATCGTATAAATATGATTGCTAATTCTCTTTAGCACAGTTGTTTAAAAATTTGCCATGGTATTTATTGAAGAATATATGTGAGTACTTTAAAGGCAAAAGTTAGCTAAATGAGCTTTATGTTTTGGACTAACCAAAAGGCATGGAGTTGAGGACATACTGTGTGAACCTACTTAAAACTCACTACCTGGCAGGCCATTCCAATCACTGCAGTCCTCCGTGGAGTTTCTAAAGCTAGAGATTTTTATAGGCCGAGACCTCCCATCTTTCTTCCTAGGAGCCACTGGTGGATTTGAACTTTCAACCTTTTTAGTTAGCAGCCCCAGTACATTCATGCACTATGTCACCAGTGCATTTTGAACTTCTTTAGGGAAGGGGCCGAGGAAGTAAGGGTGAGGAATGGAAGTGCATTCTAGAAAGCTTATCCAGGGATGCGACAAGAGTTCTTCTCTTTGAAAATTGGGAAGGGATGGTAATGTTACGGGTTGGTGACTACAGACAGTGAGACGTGGGAGCCGAAACTGCCCCTGGAGTGGCTAGCAGACCTGCTGACTTTCTAGTGATAGGTCCTGGATCAGAATTGCCGGGAAGTCTTGCTTAGAGGAGGGGAGACAGCATGAACAGCCAGAGAATGCGCTGTTTGTGCAACATTCACATTTATGGACAAAATGAGTCAAGGAGTATTTACTGTTTAATGTTGCTCGTAATAGATTTATTTAGCATTAAGACTCTGTAAATTCAACAGAAATAATAGTTTTGGAAAGCCATGCTAATTTCTATATAGCATCATTTACATGTAAAAAGGTAGACATTTTTATTAAAAAATTTAGTTACCCACTTGGTGCCTTAATTTACCCTTTTTAATGCCTGATTGGAAAAGTTAACACTTTCCTTGCTGGAGGGGTAGGGGGAATAACAATAGGAAAGTAAAAAGAACTTTTGGTAAATCTTTTTCTGCATATTGATGTCTGTTTAACATCAATTAAATCATACCATATATTAATTTTATACCAAGAATTTTTTTCTTAATGTGAGCATTTTTGTATCATTAAAAACTTTTCATGAATGATATTTTAGTAAGGTAATATGCCATCATATAAATGTTTTCAACCATTCTATTAGTGACCATAAAACTGTTTGCAAATTTCTGGCAAGTTGAACAATAGCATTTTGCATGTATTAAGTACTCTGTTTAAGTTCATAGACAGTCATTTAATATTTTATACCTACTCTGTTAGGTGCAATTTTATTGATTTTTTTTTTTTAGATTACCATTTTAGTGATTAGACTCAACCTATTGTTGTGTACCATAGAGTTGGAACCGACCCATAGCTGATCCTCTAGCGGGTTTTCAGAGGCATTAAATCGCATAGGAAGAGAGTGCTGTCTTTCTCCCGCAGAGCAGCTGGTGGACTTGAACCATGTGCCTTTGGGATTCCAACACAGCTTCTCACCACTAAACCACCAGAGCTCCCTAGGAAATGAATAATTGAAAGTTACATAGCTAAAGGTGGTAGAGCCAAATTCTTAATTTCTTAGTTTTATTACATAAATTCTCATCTACATTTTTATTTCTTAGAACACATTTTTAGAAGTGTGTAGGAAACTATAAAAGCATTTTTAGTTTCCATTCTCATATATACCTTGAGCACAAGTACTTTTAAGATTCTTTGTCTCTTTATTGTTGTTCTGTGCCATCTATTTGGCTTGAGCTCATAGCGAGCCTGTGAGCAGCAGATCTGAACTCTCCCTGTCTTGCACCGTCCTCACAATTACTGATGGGCTTCACCCTATTGTTACGGCCACTGTATTAGGCCATCGTGCTGAGGATCTTCCACTCTTTCTCTGATACTCCTTATTTCTACTCCAGCCTGGCTCTTCCTGACAACATACCGTAAGTAGATGAGATAGAATTGCCTCCTTGCCTCCAGGGAGCAACCTGGTTGCACTTCCTCTCAGACAGACTTGTGTGTGTGTGTCTTCATTTTGACAGTTTATGTTGCGTTCAGTACTCTTCTCCAAAACCATAACACAATGACATCAATGCTTCCGTCATTCCTCTTGTAACTTTCAGATGTACAGGAAATAATTGAAAAGACCTTGGCTTGGAGCAGCAACACCTTAGTCTTTAAATTGATATCCTTGCTCTTTAGTACTTTTGAGAGGTCTGCACTAAAACTTGCCAACCTAAATAAAAGTGGCATAGGGCCAAGTAAGATATCCTTTTGTTATAAAGTCCATGATTTGGAGTCGACAATACCTTCTAATATCATCTAATTAGCCATGATGGTATCTTCCCCGAATACATGACGTGTCACATTGCAGACTCTCTTTTTTTTTGCTTTGCACCATCTTTTCTAAATTAGGCATTTGGTTAAAACTTCGAAAGGTTTTTTCCATGTTGTGTTACTCCGTTTTTTTCCTTTTGGTTCATGATATCATAGTATTTTTGTAAATGTTTCCAAATATAGCTGTTCTTGTGTTCTTCATTTTATCAACTAAATAGGATTCTTATAGTATAAGTTTTATCACACCTCTCTTGAGATTTTGAATGGACGTTTCATGCTGGGCATATATATATATGATTGAGTCAGGTGTGTTTTTTTAATAAAAAAAATACAAGAATGAATCTTCATCATTTACCAAGAAGCACCTTGATAGACTTGAAGTATAAAGACTATTTCAACACTTTCTACTTCAGTGCAGTAGTGGATCCAGAGCGCACCAAAATCCTCATAGTAAGTGTAATGGTAGAAATGCTGACGAAGGGGCTGTCTGAGGAGGGAAACGAGGTAGCTTAAAAGGACGTATTAAAGCAAGGATAAAACAGTGATACTGTCTTACTGAGGACATGGAGAAAAATACACTATGGCTATACTGAAATACCAAATGCAAGATAGTTTTAAAATGCTGTCAGCTAGTAACTTGGTCCTAGCAGCAAAACTCTCTAAAAGCTGTGAAGATGTTAATTTTGGTCAATGAAGCAAGATTGACAGCATAGTGATTTAGAATGAGGCAGACTGGTTACTAGAAAAACATAATTTGAGCAATCACAAAACCTGGAATACTATGTGTTATAAAGACCCTCCTTCTAACACGTCCAGCCTTAAAACACCGTGGCGATTGTGTATCATTGACTCAACACTGACTCACAGCAGGTTTTCAAAGGCAGTAAATTGCTCAGGAGATTGCCCATCCTCCCTCTGAGCATCTTATGGATTTGAACTGACTGTTTTAGGATTGCAGTGAAGCTTCTTACCTCTAGGCCACCAGAGCTCCCTTAAACATTATAGAAGTTTAAATACATATCAAGAATATCTATATACATTGAGCAATCAAACTAATGTAATGGTCTATCAGTCTAATCTGTGGTGGTGGTATTAGGTAGTATGGTGATGCTGTTGGGTCAAAACCTACTCAAACAATAATGGTCTTGTGCAGTATTTATCCTTATGAAACTGAATTAATTCACTCAGCATAGTGCACTCCAGTCTCTTCAATTTATGTAGTAGTTTTCAAAATCAGTGTTCCTGATTGCTGCATAGTATTCCATCATATGAGTTGTACCATTATTTCTCAATCTATTCAGTTGTAATTGGACATTTGGACTATTTCCATGTTCTTGGCCTTGGTGAATAATGCTGCTGTGAACATTGGTGTACAAATCTTCGTTTGTGTCCCAGTTCTAATTTCCTTTGTGTATATTCCTAGCAGTGAAATAGCTGGAGAGGATAACTAGTAAGATAAATAGTAGGAGTCCCATGGGGGAAGGGGTGGCAGCAGAAGGTTGAGGATGGGTGGAGGGAAATCACAGGGCCACACAATCTGGTGCATGGATGGAGGAGATAATGGAAATGGGAAAGATCTGGTGGGGACCTGAAAAGATGGGGCATTAGAGAGCCTAGCTCAGTGATTGAATTTAGAGAACTCCATGTATGAGAATGATTGCATGAAACATAATGTCGGTGAAGGAAAGTGTGAAACAACCCTTCAAAAAAACCCCCACTTTGTATGTGAATGAAACACAATATATATGAATAATTTATGCATATGACACAAC